GTGTAGTGTGTGTGTGTGTGTGTGTGTGTGTGTGTGTGTGTGTGTGTGTGTGTGTGTGTGTGGTGGGTGCACGGGCTAGGTCCCCAGACAGCTAAACCCATCTGCAGACTTGAAAGCCAGGGCAACTCCAGCACAGCATGGGGGCTCTGGGCAGGGGGAGCAGTTCTGGAGCTGGGCCTCTGCCACCTCTGGGTCCCATGGTAGATGGCACTGGCAGCATCAAGTGGGTCCATTACTGCAGGGGAAGGTTCGGGTAATGGCTGAGATTGGGGTGAGGATTGTGTGGGGCTCCCATGCCCAGGAATGGGGGATGGAATTCACCTCTCCACCCCTCGGCAGAGCCAGCAACTAGGGATTTATCCAGTGAAGTGAATTTCACTCTGGGTGACTCAGACAACCACTGAAAGATCCTTGTGCCTTAGGTTCAACACTGGCCAAAGGAGTTTATTAGTACCCTCCCTGGACTGCCAGGGGTGGCCAGAGTTTATTAGTGTGTTATGGGAATCATAAGATGACAATTCATTAAGAATGATGATATTTGTGTGTTTATTATTAAATCCCCAGACTCCCACCAATCCCCGTCCTTCTTCCGATGAGCTATAAATATCTAAGGGATTCAGCGACTGATCCTACAGGGAGTTCCTGCCCTTCCCCACTTTCTATAGCAGCACTTTTAAGAACAGGCCGGGGAAACATGTAAATACTTTGAACCAAATTCCAGAAGCTGCTGGGCATGCACAAGTTAAAATGAAAACAAGTTTCCTTCTCTCCAAGGACCTGGCCCCTAGTGCAAAATTATAGACACTCCCCAGAAATCTGAAATGGCCACTTCATAACTGATAGAATGTTATTGATCTATTGACTTCTGGGAATTACCAATAAAAGAAACAACCTAGTGAAGGTGATACCCTGAGGGAAAGATCTCATGTGTCTTTACAAATTGGTATAATCTAATCTGGAACTCTATACTGTAAAATGCCTTATTCGTAGCCCTATGGCGGTTGCCTGGTGTCACTACAGGGCAGAGTTAAAGGTTGGGTGCCTTAGCTGGGAATTCCCATCCCCTAGCATATTGTGATTGCTGTTAAGTGGGTTTGGCAAAATTCATTTTGTCTATTTCTTTTAAAATTTCAATAGATGATATTGATAATTATTTTAAGACCTTTTTCCAATATTTACAATTTCAATGTTAAGAGCTGTGGGAAGTTACAGGGGTGGTCAGACAACAATTATTTAATTACAGTAAATGTTGAGATTTAAAAAGCCAAATCTTTATAACTGTTCAAACACAAATTGTCAGTGTCACATGCAAAATATAGAGTGTAAATATCCTTAAATCAAACTCAACTTTCTCCAGAAGCATTTTTGTATTTTGCCTATATAAATATTTTTGTGTTTGTGTATGTGTGTACAGTGAAATCAACATTTAGTGAGATTTATTGATAAAAATCCAATCCTTTCAAGTGTACTTTTAAGTAACTAAGTACTCAAATTCTTTCACTTCCTGGACTGTAATGCTTGCTTTGGGGATAATTACACCCTCCCTATGATGTATTTTACCCTAAGTCACTGACACGTGCTCTCCACCGTAATCCCCTAGTTTTGTAGCTCCTGTCTGGGAGCTCTGCTGAGGCCAGTGGCATTATGATCAGAAAGTGACACTCTGACACATGGGGGAGGGGGAGGTAATATGGAGGCTACCAGGCTTGAACATGACCCTAAAGAGGGTGGGGAGCAAACTCCCTCTCAGCCTCTCCTCTCTCCCACCTCCCAGAGTTAGAAACCCTGATAAATCATTGCATGATACCTAAATAGCCCCAGTATGTGAGACAGTGATTAACGCAGGTGCCTTATGGGCTGCAGCACCAACCCCTGCCTGGATGAGGGCGATGAAGAAATGCAGTAGAAATGGGTTAGGCTGGGAGAGGTCACAGCTGATGTGGGACTGGGAGCCAAGTTGACCAAGAGGCCAGAACTCATGGGGGGTTGGGACAAGAAATCAAGAGGACAGGGTAGAGGCACTTCTGTGTATTTTCCCCGTTTATCATCCTGCCATGTATTTAATTTAGAAACTTTTCATTCACATTTAAGCACATTGGAGCTAAGCTGTGTTGATACATTTCCACTTACAGTGGTACAGTTGTAATTAGGTGCTTAATCAGATGCTTACACAACACCAAGCAGTCAATAATTGGTGTGCTTTCATTCATTAACTTTATTGTGTGCTGTGCATCACTTTTACAAAAAAAGATGGTGTGAGCAAGTGTCAAAATTTCAAGCATTAAGAAATGGAAATTAGGTGTCAGTTCCATTCTCATGCATTTATCCTATAATTTTAATTTCAGTTTTGAATCAGTATTAACACCATGTTGTTTTAATAGCATTAGAGTCTGTTTGTATAACTGTTTGCAAGATTTCATTGGATATTGTGAACCAGCCGTCTTAACCTTTTATTTTGAGATTACTAAATACAATCCAGCACACCCCTCCTGAAAGACTGCAAGCCCTGGCCGGTGACATGCTCCCTAGAGAGCAAACACCTGATGAGCCCTTTGCCCTAAAAAGCACTTTTGGCTCGGTGATATTAGGGTTACCATACGTCCAGTTTTTCCCGGACATGTCCTGCTTTTCAGCAATCAAACCCCCGTCCGGGGGGAATTACCGAAAAGCCAAACATGTTCGGGAAAATGCCGGCCGGGCACTTCCCCTCCCGCGGTTGCTCTGCTCCGCTCCTCCCCTCTCAGACTTTAAAAGCCGAGCTGCCCGAGCCAGCGCTACCAGCTTCGGGCAGCCCCCCCTGCCTCCGGACCCCGAGCCGCTGGCCAGGCACTTCTCCTCCCCAGCTCCAGCTGCTCTGCTCCGGCGGCTCGGGGTCCGGAGGCAAGGGGGGCTGCCCGAAGCTGGTAGCACTGGCTCGGGCAGCTCGGCTATTAAAGTCTGAGAGGGGAGGAGCGGAGCAGAGCAACCGCGGGAGGGGAAGTGCCCGGC